CTGAATTATAATAATGGCTAACTTCATTTAACAGATGTGAAATTCTTATAGTTCTGTGTGATTTCTGTGTGGTTATTATAGGCCATTGATCTCAACTGCATTGCTGGAAACAAATGTAATTCTAGTCCTGCGCTATAACAGTAACAGATTGTGAGTGTGTTTTGGCTCAAAAGACAAACATACAAGATACATGAGCAAGTTCGTACTGACCTACACAGTGCCAGCATTATATTAGGTCATATTTCAGCTACTGTGTGTTTGATAAATAGCCTGCCTCTAAAAGCTCTGTCCTCAGTGCTGAAATTTCCCATGATGTATGGCCATGTCTGGCTGATAAATTCTAATGTCGGCATGTGTGTGATAGCGATTCATCAGGTTTGTAAAGAGTGTGTTCAGTGAAACATATTGAATTCATGAACATCCAGATTTCAGATATTAGATAATTACTACTGGCACTCCCTCCACCACACACGTACCTTCCACCTTGTGTTCAATTTAAAAATCACTTGTAGGTGCAAGCAACTGCTGGGAATTATGCAAAAATTGTCACATTTTAAGATGGAAGCAAATTGTTCGAAACTCAAGTGACAGTTTTCCCCCTCCACATGCTGTTAATGCTGTCCATTCTGTACAAAAGAACATGGCATGAGAACAATAAGAAAACCCTTTGGCACTGTATAGAAATGCTTCTGCTTATGCTGATCATCCAACATAATGAATAGTCCAGACTTCCAACTTTGATATGACCAAGGCAGTTGACCACAGATCACAAGCTAACCTCAGCATTGCTAACTTAATGGTGTTTTGGTTACCCAGTGTTCTCATGGTATAGCACTGTACCCTATGAACCTCTGGAGTCTTCTGAGTTTCTCATCTCCCTGATGAAGATGCTGCTGCTTCCACTCACAGTTCTTCCAATTTAATGTCACTCCAAATACCTATAGCATGACCCAAATGAAGAGGCAAATGTTTGGAACGATGTCTTGCAGCATCATTCAGACTAATTCCTTGCCTTCCTTTAAAACCCTTGCCGTGGTGCCTGCTGAAGCACCCTGCTTTATGGTAGAACCTACCCTGTTTCTGTTCTTTGCATATCTTTCACTCTTGCTAAGAACTTTCCTTCCAGTATGATACTACTGCCTGTCTGCTTGACCATGTGGGACTGTATTCAGACCACTCCTCATACTTGGTTTTAGTACTGCTATTATGATTTAGGAAATTTGGTGGATGCCAAATCTGACATGAAAATAATGCAAAACCTGTTTTCCTTGAAATCATACAAATACGTATTGCCCAAATCTGGAGGGATGTACCACTCCATAATTTGGTGGGTTCGCCCCTTATTTTCTCACCATATTTTTGATTGGTTTTATATGGTGGTCTTGTTTCAGTTCTTAACAATGAGCATGATTTTCTTTTCATTGCCCTCTTACAAGCTTGTGCTCTTCAGTTTTGTTCACATAAATTGGCATAAGAGTAAAATCAAATATTGGTTTTAAGACAGAATTCTCCTGTTTAGGGTCATAGCTGAATTAGCTGGAATTATTCCTTTGGTCTGATCAACGGTGTAATCTCATCTTGCTTATCCCTTGGGATAAGTAGTGTTTGATCACATTGTATATCTTGTGAGAAGGTTCCTTAATAGTTGCTACCTCAGAAAAGTAAACAAGGTCAAAAGTATGTCATAAATTTCTTGATAGATTAGATGAAAGACCTTTTTAGGACAGTTTTAGATTTCTTGAGGGCATTTTGTTTTTGTTTGAAGAACAGTAATCTAAACTCTCTCTGTGTGTAAACAATACAGCCCATTTATGTAAGCAAAGGCTGACTGGATAGCTCAGTTAGTTGAAATACCTGACTGTGGAGCCAGGGATTGAGAGTTTCATTTCCCCACTGTGCCTCTCTGGAGAAGATCCAGCCCGTATATCATTGGGCAATCTATACAGAGACCTGGCTCAAAGAGGCCAGGAATGGAACCCCGCCTGCATTAATAAATTTGCTAGAAAATCACTCACATTCATGTGGAACTTGATTTTGTATTTACTACAGTGATGGGGGTGTGGAGTGTCCAGTGGGGCATCTAGTCAGGGTTTGTGAGACCATTTTTCGTCATTGTGGCCTGATAATGTGAATAGGACTCTTGAATCTGTTTCTCCTAGTACATGTAAGCTTGGCCCTTGCTCATCTTGGCTAATAATATCTAGCAGAAGTTGATTAATTGGGTGGGTGCAGGATAAATGCCTCATTATCTCAGGGAGTTGTGTCTGCTGCCTTGAAAGAGGAAATACTGCAACCTCTTGTGAAGAGGATCTCTCTGGATTCAGAGGTATGTGTGAATTACCACCCTAACACAACTATCCCCCCTTTACGGCAAGGTAATTGAGAGTATGATGGCTGGGCAACTTCAGATGGTCTTGGAGGAAACAGAAAATCTGGACTAATTTTAGTTTAGTTTCGGGCCAGGGTTTGGCATTGAGACAGCCTTGGTCATCTTGACCAGTGACGTACTCCAGAATAAGGATGGAGGCTGTGCAATTGTTTTGATACTGTTGACTGTGGTATTCTCTTGGACTAGCTCTGCAGAATGGGAATAGAAGGCACTGTCTTGTATGGTGCTTACCTGTGGGACTGATTCCAAAGACTGGGACTGGGGGATTTCTGTTCAGCTTCATGAGGATTAAACTGTGGGGTACCATAGGGATATATTCTGTTTCTTCATGCTATTCAAAATCCATATGAAGCTGCTGGAAATTTTGATGTATGCTGATGACACTCAGCTCTGCTTCTTTTGCTGGAGAGGTCATTTGAAATTTTGAGGCTGGGTGCCATCAGTATGCTGATGACACTCAGCTCTGCTTCTTGCCAACAGAATTGACTGAGGCTGTGTATGACCTGAATCACTGTTTTGTGGCTGTATTGGGCTGGATGAGATCCAATAAACTGAAGATGGATCCTGACAAGATGGAGACTCTGTGTGTCAGTAGATCTCACAGCTTTTATGAATGGGGCTGCAATTCCTCTGAAGGAGCAGGTACATAGCCTAGGGTTACTCCTTGAACCATCTTTATCACTCATGTTTAGGTGAGCACAGTGGCTCAGAATGCCTGGGGCCAATTGGCCCACCGGCTGTGACCATTCCTGGACAGGGACATCCTGGCTACAGTAGTTCATGCACTGGTAATCTCTTGGGTAGACTAATGTAATGCACTTTAAATAGGGCTGTTCTTGAAGATGCAAATAGGTGTAATATGCATAAGCTTGACTGCTAACAGGAGCATCATTTGGACATTACATTACACCAGTGGTCCCCAACCTTGGGCCTCCAGATGTTATTGGACTTTAACTCCCAGAAATCCTGACCAGCAGAGGTGGTGGCGAAGGCTTCTGGGAGTTGTAGTCCAAGAACATCTGGAGGTCCAAGGTTGGGGACCTCTGCATTACACCATTTCTGAAAAACCTTCACTGGCTACCAATATACTGTATATCTTGTCTGAGTTTGAGGTGCTAATGACCTAACTGGCTTGTGACCTGGATATCTGAGGGTATCACCCTCCTTATACACACCTGCCAGATCACTGAGATATGCTGCGGGGGGTGGGGGGGCTAATATTCCATGTCCCACTATTGAGAACAATCCACTATGTAGAGACATGAGAGAGGGCTCTCTTAGCTCTAGCATCCCAGTTATGAAATACTGTCCCTATCACTGGCCTTAACCCTAAACTCATTTTGGCACCATGTTAAAAGATAGTTATTCACCAAGACTTTCCGGGATTAAGGTAGTAAGCTGTGGAAGCTTCCTTTTTGTTATTGGTTTTAATATATGCATATAGTTTTAAATATGTTTGAAGTTTTACATTTGAATTGTTTTATGTGGCTTTTATTGCTATACCCCTCCCTGATATAATAAGATATAGGGTGAAATATAAATGGTTTAAGTAAATAATCTGATTTCATATTTCCTGTGGAACAAAGCCATTGCTTTGTCAAATCTTGATTTATCTGTTTAATTTTTATATAGGTGAAATGGGAATAATCATCAGAATGATTCGTGTAATGATAGTATAAAAGGTTTGGAAAATTCAGCTCATAAAATGTAACAGAAATTGTGGTAATATTAAGTATGGTTTACAATCAGTTGAGTGTTACTGAGTTGTACCTTGTGAAACTGTGTCTCACTGTTCAGTTAGTGAAAAACATATGCAGATCCTGATACAGATGGATATTTAGGGACACAGTTGCTTAAAACAAATAAGATTCCATGTTGGGGAAGTCCAGTTTCCATCAACCCTTTTTAGCTTGGTCAGTAGTAAAGGATGATTTAGTCCATCAACATCAAAAGGCATATAGATTTTCTGGACTTGTTCTGAACAGTACTGCATTTTCCTCAGGGAAGAATGCATATACTAACTATGCATTAAAATGTATGGGCTAAGCATAACTTAATTCTTGTTAATTAGAGCTAATTTACTTTCCCTTGATTTCAGTGTTGTCATTAGTCTTGTAAGTTGGAGTATATGTTCCAGAAGAATTTCTTTAGAAATAAATAAATGCAAACTATTTTGATTGTAATCAAAAAACTGTATTTTTCTTCATAAAAAAGTTTCACATACTCACTGCCTACTCTACAGAATTTATCCATTTCATTACACCACGGGTCAATTCTAATTTTATTGGTTCACTGCCAAAAAAAAACCCAAAACAAAAACAAAACAAAACTCGTGGCTAATGTGTGTCATACAACACAGGAGGAGAGTATTACTCAGTTCCACTATTCCTACATTTAATTAAAAAAACAACGAATACAGAATTTCTTTCATCTACTTGCACTGCTTAGACAGTACCGAGTGCCTCTTAGATTATAAGAAGTCACACTTTAAAATCCTAAAAAACAATTTGGTTGTCACAGAACTCTTTGAAGACAGGTGTTTGTTTTGTTTAAAAAAAATATACCACACCGGCAGACATTTGTATTTGTAGCCACCACCATTGGCTGAATCTGAGGTTCAGATTTTTTGTAACCTTTTTTGCCTTTTTATTGAGCAGAGTTACAGTCTTGCGTTGCCCCATTTTGAAACACTAAGTATATTCATATTGGCATTTCACGATGTATTAGGTGGGACCCCTATAACCGTTGCTTGGATCTCAAGGGCTGTGCTTTTCTCCCTGTCAGTATCCCAAAGACTGATAAGAGGAGGATAAAGCTCACCAAAAGAAAAAGTCTGTTTTTTAAGGTAATTCCTGAAATAGCTGTGTCCTGCATCACAGTTCATTTCGTGGAAGATGCAACTGAAGAGAGACATCACACAAAAGAATCCCAAAAGAGCACCAAAGCAGGCAAGCAATGTAGTGGTGTTGGTTTTCTCATAATTTGTCATTGCTGGATCCAATCCATTTGTTGTGACATTGATGCATTGTCTTGCATTTTGCAGCTGGACTGTAGGGATGTCCATACAAACTTTATATTCTGTTGATGGGGTAAGATGTGTAAAGTTATAGACCTTTATATGGGATGGAATCCGAGCACTCTGTGCGGTCGGGGAGTTTCCATCTTTTGGAATGGCACTCCATCGGATGGCAGATTTCAGTATTTTAGAGTTTGCTTTCCAGGACAGTAGGATGGAACTAGGGCGCACATCTTCTACTTCAATAGACAAAGCTTTATGATTATCCTGGGGGAAAGAATCATCCACATTAATCACAATGGATTTTAAATCTGCACCCACTAAATTAGTTGCTATGCATGTGTATAGGCCACTTTCTTCTTGTGTTATATCACTAATGTCTAGTGTTCCTTCTGAATGTACATAGTATTTAAGAGAAACAGTGTTCGGCAATAGCTTATGCCCTGATGGAGTTATCCAGTATACTTCCGGTTCTGGTTCAGCAATTGCTCTGCAGTGTAAGGAAACATAGCTGCCTGCTTCTAAATTTAGTCTGGAGGGGAAGCTTTCTGGAGCAATCAGGGGAAGGCAAATTTCCATCATTTCCCTGAAATGAACTTTCCTCACATTCTGGCCTTGAAATTCAGGAGGATCCACACAAAATAATGACTCTGGCTCCATGAATCTAATGCTAGTTTTATTCATATTTATCCACCGGATGACACAATCACATCGGATAGGGTTGCTATGTATGCTGATTTCTTTGAGATTAGGCAGAGACTCAATTGTACTGCGGTACAGGGCACTGAGTGCATTACTGTTGAGCATAAGTGATTCTAGCCGGGGAAGTCGGTAGAATGCATTTGGATGTATATATGATAATCTGGGGTTATTGGTGGCTTCTATTTTTCTCAAATCTGGCAAATTGTCAACAGCCAGGTTATCTATAGATATCAGTTCAGGCATGTTATTAATTCCCAGTTCTTTGAGGTGTATCATATTGCTAAAATCGCCTCTTTTTATTCTGTTAATGGGATTCTTGTTTAGATCCAAAAATTTAAGGCTTTTAGCCTTTTGAAGAGCTGTATGTGGCACTTTAGCTAATCTGTTGTCATAAAAAGAGATGCTTTCTAAATTGTCAAGGCCAGCCAAGGCATTATCTGGTATTTCTGTGAGATTTATGCCTGCTAAAACCAGGCTGCGCAAACTGATGAGAGGCTTAAAATTCATATCTTCGATTCTGATTATTGGGTTTTCTCCAATCATCAGGATCTCCAGATTAGGAATAGGTTCAAACCACTTGCTGTTGATCAGTTGTAGACTATTTGAATTGAGATGAAGTCTCAGGAGACGACCAAGACCTATGAAGGCTCCTGGTGCAATTGTGGAAAGCAGATTATGATTAACGTAGAGCTCTTGGAGGTTGCTTAGCCCAGAGAGACATTTATCAGGCAACTCTGTAAGTTTATTTTCCTCCAAATACACTGAAAGAAGCTGGGGTATCTTCCAAAGTTCAATATTGGCCACTGAGGATAAACTGTTCTGAGATAAATCCAGGCCAGTAAGGTTTACTGGGAATTCTGCTGCGTATTCAATTTTTTGAATATTGTTAGCTTGAAGAAGCAGAACCTGTGTGTCAGCAGGCAATTGAGCTGGAAAAGTAGAAAGGCCCACATCATTGCAATCTACCATTGAAACTTCCATGTATATAGATCTTGGAGTGAACCACGGTCTTATCTCGCATGTACAAGACTGTGGGCAGTCTGCTTTTTTACCTACTGCTTGTACCAGTGCAATGATAGTTAGGCCAAGTAAAAACTGAATTTTGAGTGGCATGTCCTTCATCTTAGCTCAGTATTTCTGAAAAATAATTGGCCCTGCACAATTAAAGTTTTAAAGTTCAGAAAAAGTTGATCATTTGGTAGATCAGTCCCTTGCATTTGTCAAATGATGGATGATGAACAGGCACAAAACCCCACTAGTAGCTGGAAGTACGTTGCACCTTTGCAATCACTTTGTCGCGTTAGAAGAGGCATATTTGGGAAATAATAGTGTTCTTCTCAAAACGATAAATATTGAAATCTGTCTGAAATGAGGTCCATCCAGAATGCCATAGACAAGGAAGTAGGCCAGTTATATAGTAGCATTAATTTCAGATTCCATGTTGTTGTCTTCTGTTTTTATTGTCTTCAAAAAGAAACCTGCCATATAAAGAAAATAACAATTAATAAATGCAACCTTGGAAAAACAACATAGACATGAGGTTTAAATTATTTTGAAAACTTTACTATATTACCTAGATAAATTGATTTAGATGAAAATTTTACTGCATTGCTTACTACACATGGTATTTAGAGACAGAGTGATGACTGACCTAAAAAAATAGTCCTATTGTATCAGTCTAAAATTCTAGTGTCTTAACACGTAATGTCAGAGTGATGATAAAGAATAGTATATGCATTTACCTGTTAGTAAAAACAAGTCTGGCAGTTACCTTCTCTGTGTACACAGTAGCATGCTTAAATAGTGCAGTCTTCTAAGTGTCTGGGTCTAATTTGCTCTCATCTGGCATGGTCAATAGACATTGCCCAAGTCTAGCCTACTAAATCAGCCCCCAGTTTGTATGTCAGCAGGCCACACTGAGTTATAGAAGCATTATTCAAGTGAATTTATGAAATTACAACCTTGGATTTACCGCTTGCCATCAACTGTTGAGTGTATATGTAAATTAACAATGTGATGACTTAGGATCTATTGGATGGATGGGGCTTCAGGTGTCATTACAGTTGCTAGAGAGATTGATGTGTGTTGGGAGGTGACAACTCCGATCTTCTTTTCTCCTCAGGGAAACTTGCTAGGCCTATTGCTCTGATATTATTATACTCTCAAGCCCATCTTGTGGATATAGTTAATGTGGGGTGTGAAACAGGTTGTCCTGAGGGGAGAAAGATCAACTTTGTATTTTGTATCTCGTTGTATGACGTTTTATGATAATTCTATTCTAAATGGCTTTGACTACCTTGTGATCAAGAAGCTGGATGCAGATATCAATAAAGTCAAAGAGTTGTCTTGTGGGCACTCATATTAGCAAGATGTTTTGTTTGGAATTTCAAGTAATGTTTGACTGTTTTATCCTTCACCAGTGTTGATAGGAATTTGGCTTGAAATTGACATTAATGAGCAATATCATAAACAGTATAAATATTTGTAATGTGTATATACCCAGCATTGTAAAGGTTTGATATTGGGCATGTGAAAGTATTTGTGTGGTTTTGTGGATTCTCTCCAGAGTTCTAGTGACAATAAATGCAATGATACTGTAAAGTACCACGTGGATTAGAAGTACATAAGGGATTTCAAAATGTTTTGACCTGATCAATAAAGGTTCACTTTAACACACCATGCAATCCAAAATTGTAGAATTTACTTTGTTAGTTCCGAGAGACCCGCGCTCAGCTTGGCCACTGACCATGCTGTTCTAGGAAATTTTGGACCTATCGACTGAAAAAGCTTCTGGCATACATAGCATGTTTTACACAGTCACATGGCATCTTATCCTCTGCTCCTATCCTTTTACCCCTTGCATTAACAAGGGATAGCAGAAGCATTGTTTACAAACTGCAGAATAAGGCCAGTAGTTCATTGACATTGATAAATGTATTCTGAGATGTTGCTGTTAAAGAAAAATTGAGAATAAGCCGAGTACAGAGCTATGGTGTCCTCCAACCTGGATACCGTATACACGTCTAAAATAACATCAGATTTGGCTCCTTCTCTTTATTGACGGCATTACACCTTTATCTATAAACGCGACTTACAACTTTTCAGATAACTTAGAATACTAAGTATTCTGCCAGTGATGTATGTTATCTGAAAGAAGCCCTGCTGATGTTAGCAAGAAAGGCATATTGTGGGGGTAATTTTTAAAGGCAATCTATATGTCTACTGTTTTAAAATGTTTTAGTTTGTACTTTATCTGCATCCACCTACATTTGTACACCTACAATTATACATGCAGACAGACAGAAACAGAGTACTTCTGTCTATGACCATGTTTGATTAGTAATGGTAATATTGAGCATTTATGATACTTTAGACTATTCCTAACAGTTGAACAAATCATTTCACTCATCCTCACAACAATGCTGTAAAGTAGGCCACAATTGTCAAAGCTGTAGCTGAAGCAGAGAAATGGTGGTGTTGGCTGCTGCTTGGGATGTGACTGGGAACAAGCCATCCAGACACAGAGCTGGCGGATGTGGCCCCGACACAACGAGCCTTTTTAATGTCCCTAACCAGCATCTGTAAGAACTTCACTTGATTGTTATCGGATTTCAGTGGACCTACTTTGGAACAAGTAATTTGATAAGTATAGAAGCATGATGATTGACACTATGCTTTATGCATCCCTTACTATCTTACCAAGGCAATGTACCTGCCTGGCAGTTGTGATATAGGTGATGTGATAGAAAACATGCAGGGGAAACATGTTGTTTTGAAGTTTTTCAGTATATTTTATTTGTAGTGAAACATACCATTGGTACAAAGTGACCTAATCAAACTATAATCTGTTCCATGAAATTAGGTATTACGCATTGACTTCAAAGTGTTATATGTTTATATGTTAATGCTTACATATAAAGCCCTAAACGGTTTAGGACCTCGATACTTGGCAGAACGCTTACTCCCAACTAGCTCTACCCGTGTCACCCGCGTGAGCCAGGAGGTGAGGCTGAGGAGCCTGACGCCGAGGGAGGCCCGGAAGGAAAGAACTAGAAACCGGGCCTTCTTGGCGGTGGCTCCTCGCCTCTGGAATAACCTACCTCCGGAGATTCGCGCTGCACTCTCGCTGGGTACTTTTAAGAATCAACTAAAAACGTGGATGTATAGACAGGCTTTCCCTTCCAGTTAATTCCTGTCCTCTTTCCTTTTTTTTCTCTTTATTTGATTTATTTTGTATTTTTCCCATTGCAAAATCATTTAATTAATTAATTGTTATAAATTTTTCTTGAACTTGTTATGTTTTATGTTGTAAGCCGCCTAGAGTGGTCGAAATGATTAGATAGGCGGGGTATAAACACAATTAATAATAA